AATGAGAAAAAAGTTATTTGATTTCTAAAGAAAAAAATCGACTTGGACAAAGAAACTAGATAAAAATATAGCATAGATATGTTATTTAGAAAAATACATTTTTAAACATCGTTACATAAATTAATCACATTTCCATGTAGTAACAGTCTAAATGCCAAAATCAAAATTAAAAAGACAATATCATTTACGAACACTCCAAAAATAAAATACTTTAGTATAAATTTAACAATGATTTGTTAAATTTATGATTTGTATGCTGAAGATTATAAAATGCTGATGAAATAAATAAAAAAGAAAATCATAAATGATGGAGATACATACTGTGTTTATAGACTGAGAGACTCAACACAGTAGTGATATCAATTCTCCTCAAAGTAATCTACAGGCTTAATGCAATTGTTACCAGAATCCCACTACAGTGTTTTTGTAGGCACAAACAAACTTATGCTAATATTTGCATGAAAAACAATGGGCCTTATTATAGCTAAAACCATCTTGAGAAAGAAGGATACAGTGGGAGGATTCACTTTGAAATTTAGGTCTATTATACAACTACACTAAGCAGTAAGTTTGGCAGTGACAGAAAGATAGACAAAAGTACAGAATAGACAATGCAGAAATTAACACACACAAATATACCCAATGGATTTTGAATAAAGATGTAAATGCAATTCAGTGGAGGAAGCCTAGACTTTTCAACAATGGTGCTAGTGCAACTGGATATCCATCCCTCCAAAACTAAACCTTAATCTAAATAAACATCACACCTTATACAAATACTAACTCAAAATAAATTACAGACTTAAATGTAAAATTTAAAGCAATCAAACTTTTAGCCATTTTTTAAAATTTAAAAATTAAAATAATCAAATCAAATCAAATCTCCAGGACCTAGAGCTTGGCAAAAAGTTTTTGCACTTCACACCAAAACCATAATCCATAACTGTAAATGTTCACAAATTGAACCTCATTAAAATTAAAAATGTTTGCTCTGCAACAGACACTGTTAAAGAGGATGAAAAGACAAGCTACAATTCTCTAAACTCAACAAAGAGGACATAAATAATTTAATTATCAAATGTACAAAAAACATGAACAGATATTTTGCTGAAGAGGATAGAGATGGCAAATCAATAATGTGAAAATGTGTTGCTATCATTAGCCATTAGAAAAATGTAAGCTAAAATCACAATGAGTTATCATGATATGCCTTCCAGAATGGCTACAATTAAGAATAGTGACAACACCAAATGCTACAAGGATGTGGAGAGGCTGGATCACTCATACATTGCTAGTAAAAATGTAAAATGGTATGGCTATTTTAGAAAATAGTTTGGCAGTTTCTTATAAAAACTAAATGCACAACTGCCATTCAACCCATATTCACCCTTGAGCATTCATTACAGAAAAATGAAAACATATGTTCACCAAAAGTTGTACGGTAATGTTCATAGAAGCTCTACTTTTAATATCCCCAAACTGGAAACAACCCAAATGCTTCTCAATGAGTGAATAAACACTGTGGTATGTTCGTACCATGGAATACTGCTCAGCAATAAAAAGGAATGAACAACGGATACATATAAAAACTTGGATGGATTTCAAAGGAATTATGCTGAGTGAGAAACCCAATTCCATAAGGTTATTTAAGATACCACTTATGTTGCATTATTGAATTGACAAGTTTTTAATGAATAGATTGGTGGTTGCCAAGGGTTTAGGATTTGGGTTGAGTCAAGATAAATGTAGCTATAACAGAACAAAGGGATTCTTGAGGTGATGGCACTGTTTTGTATCGCAACTGTATCAACATCAATATTCTGATTATGATATTGTACTACAGTTTTGTAAAATGTTACCATTGAGTAAATCTGGGTAATGGATGCAAGGGCTATCTCTATATTATTTCTTGCAACTTAACATGAACCTACAATTATCTCAAAAATGAAATTTTAATTTAAAAAAAGGATGACAAACTACTAAGTATGCTACAATTTGTGAAGCATTGGCATGCTTATTTGTGCAACAGCTAACTTTGTATATGAAACTGCTAGTAGGTCATAACTATGGAAAGGAGAATTAAAAAGTGAAAGGTTAACAATATAAGAAAATTTATTTTTATAAGATATACTTGTTTTTATAGATAGCCACAAAATAAAAGGAATTGTTGCGCAGCTCTCCTTCATTCACTTTTTCATGTAAAAAAATAAATAAAAGCCGGGCTCGGTGGCTCAGCCTGCAATCCCGCGCCTTGGGAGGCTGAGATGAGTGGATTGCCTGAGCCCACGGGTTCGAGACCCACCTGGGCAACTTGGTGAGACCTCATCTCTATAATAAATCAAAAATCAGGCAGGCGTGGGAGCACGCGCCTGTAATTCTGGCTACTCCAAAGGCTGAGGCGGAAGGATCGCCAGAGTCCAGCAGGTCAAGGCTGCGGTGGCCGGGAGCGTGCCACTACACTCCAGTCTGGGCGACAGAGTGAGACTCCAGCTCAAAAAAAATAAAATAAATAAAATAAAATAAAATAAAAATTCAAGATAAAAAATTAAGTAGCCAAGTACTAGGAGAAAAGAATTATGAGGCATTCTTTTGTTCAAGGTGGATATTAAAAGAAGGGAGTAAGAAAGCTCTTGTTCATTATAATGACAGTACTCTTCAATGTTTCCATTAGTTATGCCATTTAATTGCACATATTTAGGTGCACTTGCAAATTAGCTGTATATGAAAAGCTTGTTAAACAATTTCATTGACAAGTTAATATCCAGAACACATATCAGGAAGACTAGAATCTTAGAATAGAAGTTAACATTTTCACACTTCTAAAATTCTTTGCAAGTGGGTCATTTAAAAATTAATGGTGACAGTTTTGTGACCTGATAGCTGACTCAACTAACAGCCCTTGGGCTCCCTTCACGTCAACACCAATCCATATTATTTCAAATGCTGTTTATAAAAATTTTGAGTATCCCTCTTCAAATCGGAAAAGGAAGGCATAGCAACACTAGTTTCAAATCAATTGTCATATTTGAATTTCAGTGACAAAAGTAACTCTGAAGTTTATTACTTTCTCTAGAATGTCACTTGACACACATGCAACTTTAAAGTGTTTGTCATTTAATTTCACCCGACATTAAAATGTAGATATATGAGCATATGGTAAATGTCAATATTTGGGGAACTTTTCGGTCTTTAATTCATTATTTCAACTATAAACTTAGAGGCATTTTAATGCAATTTCTCAGAGCATTGGATCACAGTGTATACTTGAGCACATCAAAGAATTGCAACCTCAGCACTTTTGAAATTCAGATTGCGTATGTAAACACATCATTATTTGCTCATCAGCAATAAATGATGAAATGAAATGTTAGACTATGGATATCCAACTCAATTGTAATCTCAGGTAAATGAGGACACATTTGCCTATCGTAAGGAATCACTTCTCCACATGCATGAACAGTCATCTATAAATATTTTTAAATAAACACAATAGATATGAAATTAAAATCAAATTACTATAGGTCAAGTGAGAACAGCTGGCCCAAACAGTATTTTTTAACTCTATTAGTGGGACAATTATTTATCTATACCCCTATAAAACCTCTACTTCTCTTAAGGGCTATGTTTGAGCATAAAAGGTTTAATAGACTCAAAGAGAAAGAATAAGAGTTTTCAAAGAAATTACATATTTGTTATTTATTTATTTTTTTTAGAGCAGGATTTATTGAGAGGTCAGAAAAGCTCCCACAGTGGGAGGAGACCCGAGGGGGTTGCCCCACATTTGTTATTTTAAAAGACATTAGGCAATTTCTCCAAGTACAACTCTCCACTTATATTCATTTAAATTTCCCAACATTAACTGTGACATATGTTGTCAGTGTGAAAAAGATACATTTTTGTTTAACTTTTATGTGATTTTGACCTGTTTTAATGACTTAAAACACCTGCAGCCATAGTTCGCTTAAAGGTAATTCTTACAGGCATAATCCTTAAGAAAGAGGAATGATAGGTGTTGATTAGGATTTCAGAAGTAGTAGTCACATTTGAAGATACTAGGTGATTCTGAGACTTTCTCGAAGTTTGAGAATCAAGTCCTTTAGATTTTTCCTTATTTCTCTGAATAAGCCAAAATACAGAAAGTCAAATAAATAAACACACCTTCTATGTGCCTATACTCAGATTTGCTAACATTCTAATAGACTAACGACATACATGATCATTGATGCAGGGTGTGACTCAGCATCCATGAAGGGCTAAATGCTTAAATTGAGATTTTTACTTGCTAATGTGTTACACAGATACTGCTTAAATGCATTATCTTTAAACAAACTACATGTGTCTCTTCCATAAGCTGACAAAGGTGTGTAGATATATAATGGCTTTCCTTGGAGATAAAGGTGCAGAATTTATCATTAACTTTATTTAGTATTGGCCCTGGAAGCCTAGGAAAAATTTTTGTATTGACCTAGCAGTTTTACTTATTAAAACCATCTGGAACACAACCTTCATATTCTCTAACATATCAATGCTGCCTTCCTCACTCTATGCACATACACACATTACCTAAATCATCTTTGCAGATGTGTGTGAATCAGAAGTATCCATGCTCTATCTGTCTGTGAAGGGCAATCACAAAATGTTATAACCCATTTAGAAAAAACTATGCATCTTTTCTGCAAGTCTTTGCTTACATTTTATTTGCAACATTTTACTTGCAACATTTTACCTTCCCTATAAATTTTATTTCATAGTCTTTGGTAATTTCTGGTAACATAAGTAGATACCCAGATGGTATCTCTTTTCCCCATAAGCTAGAAATAATGTCTCAATATAAATTCCAATCCCATCTTTTTATGATTTAGACTCTAAATTTTAGAAAGCAACAACACATGCAAATATTGAGACAATACCTTTAGGCAAAATTGAGAGCAACAAAATTTAAGTATGAGAAAGCAGCATGTGATTTCTTTGATTCAGCAGTAATAGAATGAAAAGAATACCTGATAACACAGGCGTAGAGACCACTGTCCTGTAGCAATGTTGGCCGGAACCAAATGGAGTCTTCTTCTTTGCTCATTCTACTTCCATCAAAGGCTATTGGCTCTTCAAAATCTCCAGGACCAGAACTTTTGTACCACATCAGACTGAGCCCAGCACTTTGGGCAAGGGAATAATTTGCTCTGATATAGCCATAAAAGAGTGCACATTTGATTCGAACAGGCTCTCCTACCAAAACTTGATATTTCTTGATATCAACAGACCAATCAGTGCAGCCATCAGCTACAGTAAAAAGAGAGAGAGAGAGAGAAAGGAAAAAACATTAAATAAAAAAATTAAGCATGCGTTCATTCATTCAATATTTACTGAACATCAATATTGGGTCAGATTGTATTCTAGGCACAAAAAATTGTAGCAATGAATCCAACTGAGAATAGCCCTGAAAAGTAGTTTACCCTGCTAAGAAATAATGTATTCTTCACTTAGTCTGCTTCTACTGCTATATATTGTTAGCTTATATCAGGGTTCTGGTTGCTAATTTATTGCCTCTCAATTCTAAATATACATTTATACCTGCTCTGTAAAAATAGATCTGGGCCTTTGACATATTTTTTCCTTTGCTAGTTGCCACTAAAGCTCTGCTGATAGAGGGTACTAGAGAGACACTGCAGGAGGAAAGGTGTTCACTTCCTAGATCCAGTGTGCTTACTTGACAGGCTCTAGGAACGTGCAAAGCATCTTCAGCACCTGGCTCCTGCAGTGTATGGCAGCCAGCAGCTTGGACATTTTTTGAGCAGAGCTTCAGGTGAGTCATTTTATGAACAACTTTCCCAGGTACCACAGAGGAAGGTTGCCTGTTAATTTCCGGAGAGCATATTTCCAACAAGTTCTGCTAGCATGGCTGCTTAGTGATTTCTGCCATTCAGTAATTCATGGGTATAACTTCCCAATAAGGTTTGGATCTCTGCTCTAGAAATGAAAGGGCCAGGCTCGGTGGCTCAGCCTGTAATCCCACGCCTTTGGGAGGCTGAGGTGAGTGGATTGCCTTAGCCCGCGGGTTCGAGACCCGCCTGGGCAGGCGAGACCTCATCTCTACAATAAATCAAAAAAAATTAGCCGGGTGTCTTAGCGCGTGCCTGTAGTTCCGGCTACTCAGAAGGCCGAGGTGGAAGGATCGCTGGAGCCCAGTAGGTCGAGACTACGGTGGCCGGGAGCGGCCACTGCACTCCAGTCTGAGCGACCGAGTGAGACTCCAACTCAATAAATAAATAAATAAATAAATAAAATAAAAATAGAAATGAAAGGACAGGGTCTTTTTTGGTATATGCTCCGTTTCAGCCCTAGAAGTAATGGCAGACATTCCTCTATTTTTTTTAATTAAAAAAAATATTTTTTTGAGTCAGGGTCTCACTCTATCACCCAGGCTGGAGTGCAGTGGCATGATCATGTCTTACTTGCAGCCTCAGCCTCCTGGGCTCAGACAATCCTTTTGCCTCAGCCTCCCTAGTAGCTAAGACTATAGGCATGTACCACCACGCCTGGCTAATTTAAATTTTTTTTTGTGTAAAGATGAGGTCTCATTATATTGCCTAGGCTGGTCTTGAACTCCTGGGCTCAAGCAATCCTCTCTTTGGCCTCCCAATGCCTGGGATTACAGGCATGAGCCACTGTACCCAGCCATTCTTCTATTCTTTAGGGTTGTCTTTTGCTATAGACTGAATGTTATTGCCCTCCTTCCAAAATTCATGTTTTGAAGCACTAATCCCCCATGTGATGATATTTGGAAATGAAGCCTTTGGAAGGTAACTAGGGTTAGGTGAGGTCATGCCAGGGGGCACTTCTGATGGGATTAGTGCCCTTAAAAGAACAGATGCCAGAGAGCTTCCTCTCTCTGTTTCTCCCCTTGTGCTCACAAAGAAGAGGTCGTATGAGCACACAACAAGAAGATAGCCATCTGAAAGCCAAAAAGAGGGCCATTATCAGAAACCAAATTGGTTAGGAGCTTGATCTTGGACTTGTCAGCCACCAGAACTGTGAGAAATAAATGTCTGTTATTTAAGCCACACGGACTATGATATTTTGTTACAGTAGCCTCAGCAGACTAAATATATTTTTCATACTAGCCAATCTCTTCATTACTATAATCCTCTGCTGCATGTAATAATTCTGTATATAAACTTTTGTTGTTCAAATGACTGTGTGGTTTTTCTCTCTGATTGGACCTAAATTGATAAAATTAGGAATAAATGTTTTACAGCCATACAAGATATAAAGAAATATAATAAAAATGAGTTGAGCTCTAGTAGTGGTTTTTACACAGCCAGAGACAGAGGGAGACAATCACTCTGCTCTGACTTCTGGGAGCATCAGGGGAAGCATAAAGAAGAAACCATGGTGGAAAATGGGGAGGTCAGCAATGGGATATGGTTGAATTTTCTGTGTTTACTGGAAGTACAATCTTCCAAATAGCACCTTGACATCAATTTTTAATCACTTTTCTCCCCATGCACACATATACAGAAGAGCAGGTCCCCACAGGGCGGGTACATCAATATAATCATCATCACAAAGAGTTGTAGATTTATTGCTTAGAGAGGGAAGTTCCCAATACTTAGGAAAAAAAGTCAATTTGGCATTATTCAGAGTATACAAATGTTGAGCAAAGGGGCCAAGACAGAGAAAACAGGACCTCTGACAGCAATAACATCTGAGTATTGCAAACAGGGTTTAACTCACTACAAATTAAACAGACGGCAACCTAAAGGCTCTGGAACAAGATGAATAATATATAATTCAAGAGGAGGAAAATGATCTAGGATACCGTACATTAGAGCAAAGAAGACACATGATAACCTTATGGAATTAATTATCTATGCATATTATTTTAAAATTATATCTAATATCTAATTAGGACTTAAATATTTTCCAAGAATTTACACATTTTAACTTACCCTTCACAGAATTATAAACTAAAGCTTTTGAACTTGCTGTCCTCTTTACCAGGAACACTTTTTGCCAACCAATTGAAGACTTCCTGTCTCCCTCTCCCCAAATACCACCTCCTCTGAGAGGCCTTTTCAATATGCCCTGTGTGAAGCACTGTCTTCCTATCTTGATCACATGCTACAGTCTGCTTTAGTAGTTTTTTCACAAGACTTACTGCTAGCTGATGTTACATTATGTATCCACTTTGCTTTCTGTCGTCTCAGTCGAATGTAAGCCTTTTGAGATCAAGAACTTTGTTCTTTTCACTCATTTTTTTACCCCCGTGTCTAGAATAGTACCTGATAATCAGCTCAAAATATATTTACAAACTGAATAAGTGAATACAAAAATAAATAAACAAATGATTACCAACATGTACAGTTGAAGAAATTCTATTTCAGCTAATAAGTGGGAGTATTGGGATTCTCACTCAGTTACATCTGAAACTAGAATTAATTCTCCCTCCTGCCACGTATTCTGTTTTTGTTAGTAAAGGTATCCATTTTGCAACATTCTTTGATTTATTTAACTTCAATTACCAAATTTGGGTGTGAGATTTTTATTAAAGGGCTGTATTGAGGCACTACCTAGAGTAAATACATATGTTGGAAATGTGGTGAACATCATCAGTGTCCGAGCTATTGTCATAATTCCTGTCAATGACTGCTGCATAGCCCATTAAATATGATAAAAGAATGACACAAACAGAGATGTCAAGGTTACATAATTGTACATGATACTTATCAAAATTTTGTATATTTGTCTCATTACATAAAATGAACCCCAGGAGGGATTTTATTTTAAACAGCTATAATTATGGTAATAAGCATGAAATTATCTTGTTTTATTACTATATGAATTACAATGCAATTTTATAATGAGTAAATGTAACTGAGACTATCTGCCATGGAGGGTATCGCTGCCAGTGAAACAGGTTGAAACACCTTCAACGCAGCAGTATAAATAGCAAGATAAAAGTATTCAAAATCTTAGAAGATTTTTAAGATAAAGCAAAAGGGTAGAAGGAAAAAACAATAGTATAGGAAGTTCTAATAAGTTTGTTACAAATTAGATCAAGATAAGAGAAGGAGTTGTTTTGGGAATATGTATAGATATTAATACGTACTTTCAGTGTATGCTCATTGAGAAAAATGTACAAAATCTATAAATATTCTTGAAAATTAAAGCTATTCAGTACTTAACTATAAGTCAGGAAAAAAATTCAAATAGTTAAGAGTCACAGGCCAAGTAAAAGTAAGATGTAAAATGAAGAAATGGCACCTTAAACAATAGAGTCACTTTGTTTTCATTTTAATATGGAAGTAGATGGAGGATCTATGGCTTAGGAGGTCTTATTATCACAAAACTATATGCTTGTTTTCAAAAATAAACTATCAAATTCAAATGGCATAAGACTTTTGGGAAAAATATGGTAAGTACTACAAATAGCAATTCAAAATATATTCAAATTGTTTGAATAAATGGATTTAAATAAATCAATTGTTACCAAAAAAAGGGATGAGTGAAATTTTGGTTTCATGTTAACATTTTACCTCATTTGTGCATTTGCTCTCTCTTACCTTGTGTGCTACAATTTTTTTTCTAAACCAGTTGAAAATAGAGATACAATGACATTTCATTCCTATATACTTCACTATGTGTGCCCCTATGAATATAGCCACAAAGTACATTTTTTAACCTTGCACAATGGGACATCTTACATTTTTAAAGGATATGTGATAACTTACAACTTAATCTTTTTTTTCTTTTTTTGAGTCAGAGCCTCACTCTTAAAAGCCTAACTTTTAAAAATTTTATTTTTAAAAATATTTTCAAGACATGGGGTACAATTCAGGATTAGGTACATAAGTGATCATTGTACAGGTGAAGTTAGGGTCTCCCATTAGTCCTCACTTTGTCTGGTTTGAGATCAGGCACTCTTACTGATATTAGTGCCCACCTCTCCCTCCATCCCCTGGCAGTGTTCTGCTACTGCCAATCCCTTTCTTGTAGTATTATGATAAATGTTCAGGGCCCACTTATGAATGAGGACATGTGGTACTTCGTTCTTTGTTTCTGTGATAGATCACTGAGTATAATAGATTCTAAATCCATCCAAGTTTCTGCCAAGCCCATAATTTTGTCCTTCTTTATGACTGCATAATATTCCATCATGTATATGTGCCACATTTTTTAAATCCAGTTAACTTTCAATGGGCTGCACAGTTCATTCCAAGTTTTTGCTACTATGAATAGTGCTGCAATAAACATGCGTGTGCAGGTATCTTTTTTGTAGATTGCTTTGTGTTCCTCTGGGTATATTATCAGAAAGGGGATTGCTGGTTTGTATAGAATGTCGATTTTTAGATCTTTTAGAAATTGCCACATTACTTTCCATAGAGGTTGTACTAATTTACACTCTCACCAACAGTGTAAAAGCATTCCTTCTTCTCTGCAATCTCTCTAAAATCTGATGTTTTCTGAGTTATTAATGATGGTCATCCTGACTGGTGTTATGTGGTATTTCAGTGTGGTTTTGATTTGCATGTCTTTAATGATCAGTGAGGCTGAGCATTTTTTTCATGTAGCTCTTGGCTGCTCATATGACTCCTTTAAAAAGTGTCTATTCATACCTTTTGCGACTTTTTAATAGAGGTGTGTGTGTGTGTGTGTGTGTGTGTGTGTGTGTGTGTGTGTGTGTGTGTGTGTGTTTCCTTTCTGCATGTTTGAGTCCTTTGTAGATCCTGATCCTGGATGTAGGTCTTTGTCAGATGGCAAATATTTTTTTTTCCCATTCTGTGGACTGTCTCCCTGCTCTCTTGATGATTTCTTTCGTTTTGCAGAAGTTTTTCAGTTTGATGAGATCCCACTTACCTATCTTACCTCTTATGGTAAGGGCTTTTGGGGTTTTGATCAAGAATTGGTTACCTATTCCAATGTCTGTAAGGGTATCTTCTGCGTTTTGTAAGATTCTCATGGTTTGAGATTTTACATTTAGGTCTGATCCATTTAGAGTTGATTTTTGAGTATGGTGATAGGTAGGGGTAATGTTTCAATCTTCTGCATGTGGTCACCCAGTTTTCTCAGCACCATTTACTTAATAGGCTCTTCTCCTCCCAGTGGTTATTGGTGGAGGTTTTGTGGAAGGTCAGTTGGTTGAGAATTTGTGGCTTTGCTTCTGGAATCTTTATCCTGTTCCGTTGGTCCATATGCCTGTTCTTGTACACTACCAGGCTGTTTTCACTATTGTAGTCTTATGATAAATTTTAAAGTCTGGAAGTGTGATACTTCCTGCTTTGTTTCTTTCACTGAGGATTGTTTTGGCTATTCATGGTCGTTTATGATTCCATATGTATTTGTTTATTGTCATTTCTAGATCTAAGAATGATGTTGATAATTTAATGGGTATTGCATTGAATCTGTAGATTGCCTTTGTTAGGATGTACAACTTAACAACGTTGATTCTTCCAATCCATGAACATGGAATATTTTCCATTAGTTTGCATCTTCCTTGATTTCCTTGAGAAGTGCTTTGTAGTTTTCATTGTAAAGGTCTTTCACATCTCTGGTTAGGAAGATGCCAAGGTATTGTGTGTGTGTGTGTGTGTGTGTGTGTGTGTGTGTGTGTGTGTGTGTGTCTATTGTGAATGGGATTGTGCTTTTTATTTGGTTCTTTGCCTATTGTTTTTGGTGTATAAAAATGTCTTTTGCACATTGATTTTGTACCCAGAGACTTTGCCAAAGTCCTTTATCACTGCAGGGAGAATTTTGATAGATTCTCTTGGGTTTTCAAGGCATAGGATCATATTGTCAGAAAATAGGGATAATTTAACTTCCTCTTTTCATATTTGGATACCCCTGATTTCCTTCTCTTATCTGATTGCTCTAGCTAGAACTTCTAACACTATGTTGAACAGGAGGGGTGAGAGTGGGCAGTCTTGTCTTGTTTTGAAAACCTAACTCTTGATAAATAAAAATGTATTAATTCAGTTTTTTTCTTAATCCAGCACATAAGTTCTGTTTTGGCTTGGGGAAAATCATTCCAGAGGCAAATTTATAGGCATTGTTAAGTTCATTATGTTAACTACATGACACATTATGAATTATGTGCAATTTCATTAGTTAATTATCATCATTATTATTAAAAATTATCATGTAGTTGTGTAGACTAGTAGTGTATAATCTGTTTTTCTCCCTTTTAGAATAAAATATCCTTCTATAAGCCTCTCTCAGAAAGTTTGCTGTTGGTACTTTCCTTCCCTGATTAGAGTATTCCATGGAAATACTCTAGTTAAATACTCCTCTGCAATACATATTCTTCCACAGTCAGTGGGAATTTATGAAGCCATAAAGTTATGATGGTGAGTGGAAGTAGGAAGCACCATGTTTTTGTTACCACTCATAAAGTTCTAGGAGCTTATATGAAGAAAGTGATGGAATTAAGGTTCAGAACTAATTACTTTACAGGAAGTTTATGCTGATGTACCATTTCTTGAACAAAAGCTACAGACACAGGATAATGTCAATATATTCAAATAAGATTACAGAAAGTATTTTTGATTAAGTCACTATTATTACATGCGTAAGAGCTCAAAATATTTCCATGGTAACAAGTTTAAAGGTTGAATTATTTTTTTTAAAGAAAAGTCTAATCATAAAACTTATACAGGTTGCATACCAATATGAAAATAAAATACCTTACTTATTAAAGGGTAAATAATGTTACTTTAAAGTACAGGTAGAACATCCATAATCAGAAAATCCAAAATCCAAAATGTTCTAAAATTTGAACTTTTTTTAGTACTGGCATAATGCCACAAATGGAAAATTCTACACTTGACATCATGTAGGGGGTCACAGTCAAAATGCAAGTAAATGACACATGGTTTATTCAGCATCCCCAAGAGAAAAATGAAATTGATTTCAGGCTACATTTACAATATGTATATGAAATATAAATGAATTTTGTGTCAGACTGAGGTCTCATCCCTAAGATATCTCATAGTGCACTCTATATGCAAATACTACAAAATTTAAAACAAAATCTGAAATCCAAAACACTCTGATCCCAAGCAGTTCAGAAAAGTGATACTTGAAGTCTGTCTACTTGGGTATGTATGTTGGAGCAATGATAAAATAATAAAGACACCTATGATAGTATAGGATATATAAGCCCCACCCTGATGCTCTTTACAAAATTGATGTATCTATACTCTAGCACATTTGAGTGTTGAACGCTAACAGCTCTTGCTGTCTCTTCTTGAAAATTACTCTTGATTATTGACAGAAATCACCCTTCTGGGAAACTTACATTACCTTATGTATAGTCAATAACTGACTGGTATGGGTATACAAAAGACTGCTCCTTTGCCTCAGGAAGGGAAAACTCTATGATACATTTTGTGCTCCAGAGTTTCTCTGTGGAGCATGTCAAGTCTAGCGTTTACCTGAGATCTACTCACTCTGCCTTTTCCCCTTTCCTGCCCTACTTCTCTCCCTCCCTTATAGGCTTCCCCTGAAAAGCACTCCTCAGTCAATCATGTGTATCCGAAACCCTGTCTTAGAGTCAGTTCTGGAAAGGTGACCAAACATAGATTATATATTCATACAGTGACAGCCAGCTTCATTTAAATTTTTTTTAGAAGCTGGAGATGTCAAGATATTTACAATAT